ATAGATGGTAAATTGTTGAAGACTACTTAACTCTTTCACTAAATCAGAATTATATGTAAGGGGCCAGAGAGACAGTTTAGAAGTTTAAGGCCTTGCACATGACTAACCCCAGTTCAATCCCCAGCATTGCAAATGGTCCCCCAAGCACCACAAGGAGTGACCCTGAACACAGAGCCAAAAGTAAGTCCAGAGAAGTTTGTTGTGCTCCCCACTATGACCCCCCAAAATATAAAACAAACAAGAACTGTATTTAATGAGGATATGAAATGCAACTAATGGCCTAATATGTTATATAATGACTGTAGAAAAGTCATCTGTATAGTATAAAAATCATCTATACCGTGAGCTTCATAAAATATAAAAATACAGTTATCTGAGAACTGACTCTTCTTGTTTACTTTTCTTCATTTTGTCAGACAAATAGGGAAATGACAAAATTAGTTTACATTCTTGTTTCAGAAAAATACAATTTTCAGGGTCTGTTAGAAGATAGTGCATGCCTTGTAGTGGCCAGAAAAGGTCCAATGCTCATCACCTCATATGGTCCCCTCAAGCACTGCCAAAGTGACCCTCCAAAAAAGCCAAGACACCACTGGGTATAACCCCAAACCCAAAAATAATTAAATTAAGTTAAATTTCCCCAAGTTCCCTGGTCATCTGTGCAAATTAACCAACAGCACTGTAATACATCCAAAGTGAACTTTGGATGAGAAATCTCTAGCCCCCCTCGAAACCTGAGGCCTATTCTTACGTTGATAATATATGGGTTTTTTGTTTAAGTCTGTCAGATTCAATAGTACATTAAATACTACTTAAATTTATTACAAAAATTTATTTTTAAACCATTCACAATCATCACCAAAAAAAATCTTTTTGGGGGGCTGGAGAAATAGCACCACGGGTAAGGTGTTTGCCTTGCACGTGGTTGACCTGGGTTCGACTCCTAGCATACCATATGGTCCCCTGAGCATCACCAGGAGTAATTCCTGAGTGCAGAACCAAGAGTAGCCCCTGAACATTGCCGGGTATGACCCAAAAAAGCAAAAAACAAACAAACAAAAAACTCTTTTGATGAGAAAAAGCATAATAAATCATGCAGTTAAATTTTTAAAAAATTTTTATTAGTGAAACACTGTGAGGTACAGTTGTAGACTTACAGATTTTTGTGCTTGGGTTTCAGTTATACAATGATCGAGTACCCATTCCTCCACCACTGCCCATTCTCCACCACCACTGATCCCAGTATCCCTCCCAACCCCCATCTCCCGCCTCTGTGGCAGGGCGTTCGCTTTTGTTCTCTCTCTCCTTTTGGGTGCTGTGGTTTGCAAAAGAGGCACTGAGTGGCAATCATGTTCGGTCTATAGTCAGCATGCGTCTCCCATCCTGGGAGGATCCTCCCAACACCCTTTATTTGGTGCTCCCTTCTCTATCTGAGCTGCCTTTTCCTTAGCATGTACGGCTGGCCTTCAAGCCATTAAGTAAACCTCCTGGTACTTATCTTGGCTATTCTTGGGTGTCAGTCTCCGATTTTATTACTTTATGTTCCTCAGATGAATGCAATCTTTCTTTGTCTGTCCCTTTTTTTTCTGACTCATTTCACTTAGCATGATACTTTCCATGTAGTACCACTTGTATGTAAATTTCATGACTTCATCTTTTCTAACAGCTACTTAGTACTCCATTGTGTAGATGTACCAAAGTTTCTTTCACCAGTCATCTGTTCTCAGGTACTCAGGTTTTTTCCAGATTCTAGCTATTTAAATTTAAGACCCTGAAACACAGGCGTTATCAGGGAGAAATGGAAAGACTAAATAAGGCACTTGTTTTGCACACAGACAACCCCATTTGATCCCTGGTATTTGCATATGGTCTTGAGTACTATCCGGAGTGATCCTTAAGCACAGAGCCAAAAGTAGGCCAAGTGCCACTGGGTATGCCCCAACCCCCCCCCCCACACACACACACAAAGAAGGAATAAATGGGAATACAGAATAATACATAATTTAGCATCATTTTACAAATACTCCAAAGTCAATAATAAGAGAATACTAAGTACATACCTTAATATTAAGGGGGAAAAATGAGCTTAAGAATCAATTGATGAAACCAATTAATGGTTAATAAGCCATACATTCACTTCAAAAGAGAGGATGTAAAATAGTGCATGCAGCAACACAGGTTTTATTTGTCTTCTTATAAGGCAGTGTTTTTTAAGGAGTGGGACTTAATAAAAAATTTTTAGGCCAGGGAAATAATATAAGGTAAACAAGGCATGTACTGCTCAATCCCTGGCAGCACAGGGCCCCCCAGAGTCACCAGGTGCCTTTGGTAGTTCCTAGCACTACAGAGCTTCTGCAGCACTGCATCCTAAGATTGAACCGTAAAGTCCAACTGGCTGAAAATTGCTGGAAATAGCACCCAGATCCCCTGAGCATTGCTTGGGAGAGCCCCACTTCTCTCAGCCCTTAATTTTTGGAGCAAACTCTTAGAAAAGAAACAGGAGTCAAAGAATATACCCCAAACAGGATAGAGAAGTAATGCTGGTCGTTTCCTCTTGTATATGTATACTTTTCTATTTCTCTTTTTTTTTTTTTTATTTTTCCCATGTATCTGCTGCAATTTGCCTTTTCTACTTTGATCATTCTCTCTTCTTCTTTCACATCTGTTCCTTAGCTGACTAGGCCATAAATTCAAGTGGTTCTTTGTAATATGTCACATATATATTCATACTATTTATTATCTTGTATATATCTTTGTAATATTTATATGCTAATTTCTTTGCTATAAATTTATCATCAAATGAGCTAAGTTTTCAGATTTCTACTTTTCACTGACATTCAGTCTCCTACCAAAACCTTTCTTTGCCAGGGACGGCGACAGGTGCCAGGGATCAAATCCAGGGCTTCATATATGCACAGGATGTGCTCTACCACTAAGCTATATACATCCTTCACCACTCCTACCACACCCTTTTAAAAAACTTGAGTGATTCTTCTAATGATTTCTTTCCTTTATGAGGCAATGACTCAAAAAAGATGGTTCATTTCAGTTTATGTCTAATAAATTTTCTCATATTGAGATGTATACCTTTTATTTCCCTCTCATTAATTCAACCGTTAACAGAAAGACTAATCTGAGTTTTTAGATAAAACCCTACAAAAAAGCAACTGCTTACTCACCATGCAACTTTCTACTTAGGACAACAAATCCTAGCTCCTTATTTACCTTTTAGGAGGAAGAATAGAATATTGATTAGGTGTAGACAACTCAAATTCAGATAGATCAGAGTTTTCCTCCTCACCCATTTACTAGTTCTATGATCTTTGGACAAAGCTGCTTTACTTGTCAGGACTCTGTTTCTTTAGCTACAAAATAGGTAAAAGAAATGCACCTAACTCACAGAATTATAACAATGTTACACTAAGTTTAAATTTCTAGGAATATTGTGTTAAAAATGTTTGAACTATTCTCATTTTTCTCAACAATCTACCTGTAACCAAAGATTTTTCTTTGAGAGGGAGTAGTTTGAGTCACACCCAGATATGATCAAGGACTGCTCCTAGTAGGGCTTGGGGGACCATATGCAATACTGGGGATTAAACTAGGGTCAGCCACATGCAGGGCAAGTGCCTTACTCCTGTATTATCTTTCTAGTCCCAACCAAAGCTTGAGTAACTTGGTTTTCTTCTTAAGCCCTAAACTTTCAAATCCCTCTCAACCACGGATTCCAGGCTTTATAGTTCTGGAAAGAGTATTGACTGTATTACAATATTAAATAGCATAATCACTAACTACATATTATACCTTTATTGTAACAACTCATTACCAAGTTTTCCTCAATGTCTTATTCAACTTGATTTCCTATTTTTTCAAACGGTTTTTTTAAGAAGCCATAGGAAATATTCTACTTGTAAACGTATCAATATTTCCAATATCTTTCTGAGATCATTGGTAAACTCTCAATCTCTAGGTCTAAGCTGAATGAACTAAAACAGAAGTACTAAAATGGTACATTACCATTCATGACAATATAGTTGTCCTGGATCAGTCAGTCTTTCTGGATTTGCCTGAATGTCCTAACCAGTTCATTTGTTATATATTGAGAACTGTGCTAGGATAAAGAAGGTTTAAAGAAAAATTAAAAACGAAACCTGATCCCCACCCCTAAGGAATTCCAGAAAGTAATCTAATTTATATTGTATCTTATTAAAGTCATTAGCAAAGAATATGGGATTATAGTGTTCAAATACACAAAACATATTGTACTTCAATTTTACACCTACTGAAGGGTGAAAAAGGGCTCTGCGACTTAAAAGGATATTTAATTCCGATGTTATTTTTATCCCCTCTTGGAGCAAGGACAGATCACTGTTAATCAGAAGTGAGGTAATAAAGTATTATGAATAAATAACAAAAACTACTGGTTTTATTTTATTTGGGGGTGGGGGTCCTCTCAAACAATGCTCCAGGGGTTACCCCTGGAAATACTAAGTCAATCAGGCCAGGAGATTCAACACTTTGGTTTAGTAATGTAATGCTGTTCAGACCCAGTGGTGATAGAGGTTAACAGGGTCATATCCTGCAGGGCTCAGATCAAACCACAGGCTGCAAGGGAGGATTAAACATAGATCTCACGTATGCAGGCACGTGCTTTGGCCTTTGGAATGATCTCTCCAGCTCCCCTAACTGCAGATTTAAGTTCTTCCCCTCTGAAACAGTCCCTCACTATACCCTATTTTATGTCTTTTAAACCTGAGTGACTTCACATATTGGTCTTAATTTTCCTCGTCTGTCAAGTGAACTAATACCCTCCATGCTCGATGGTTGTATTACTCTATGGCTAGAAAAGATAAATGATCAAGACCCTTTCACTGAACTTCAACCTAGATATTCCCAATTAAAGAAAAAAGGCAGGAATTCTTCCCAAGGGAAGGGGTTTGGGGAAGGGGCTAGGATCTAGGGAGCAAGGAACAGTTGAGGAGGCCAAAGCCAGTTCTCACCGAGAGGATCTTATCACCCTCCTGGAGCCGCCCATCCAGGGCTGCAGCCCCGTTCTCTTTGATGCGGCTGACGAAGATGCCACTGTCGTTGGAGACATACTGCTGATCTGTCCCACCGATGATATTGAAGCCCAGCCCTAAGAAAATCATGGAGGAATCATGAAGGAGATGAGGTGAAAAGAAAGGGATTATAAAAGAGGAGAAAGAAAGAGGGTCCTGTGAGGCAGGTGCTGATGGTGACTATAATTTAGCTGGTGAAGAGTCATGGATAAGATCATGAACAGTATCACCAACAGCATTTCAAGAGAACCCATATTTGTTCACTTAAATCAAACAAGATTAAAAATACTGTGACTGTTATCATTCGTTAACAAGGGAAAAAAAAATCTATGCTAAACCCAGTGAAACAATAGTGATTCGAAGATGTGCTTCTTAGTTGTTTTTTTTTTTTTTGTGCTTCTTAGTTTTGATTTTTCCTGTGATTAAGGGCCAAATTTTTTATTTTTCTGCTACCAAAATAACAGGGTTAGTTTTCTTCATAAGAAGCAGTTATGCTTTTAGTTAATCTGCAAGTGAACTATTCCCAATTTAATGTAAAAGAGATACTAATCAAATTTTCCCCCCACTATACTTCTCTCAACCTTTCAACACTTGTGTATGGTGGAATCTTGGTAAAAGGAAAAGATTCATATGATCTGAAGAGAAACCAAAGTATCGTATGGTAGCACTTGGAAAGAAATGGTCTTGGGAAGAAATGGTTTTCCTTTTCTCTTTTTTCCCTAGTCTGAATGATGGGAAAAGGGGTTCAGAAGACAGTAGTATAGGGTGTCAGCAGAAATATGACTAATGCTTCCTCACAGGACTAAATCACCAAATTCATTCTTCTTTCCTTTTCTATTTCAAACACAACCGCACAGCCCCGTTCTCTTTGATGCGGCTGACGAAGACGCCACTGTCATGCCAATTTTCTAAAGTGACTAAGACCACTAACAAGTCTTAGTCACTTTAGAAAAATTACTATCAATTCCCTTTTCACTATCGTACTCCATGGCTACCACTATTCTATTCCTTATTTGTATGACTATTTTAACTGCGTAAAATTTCAGTTTTGCAAGATGAATAAATTTTATTAACACAATTGCCATTGGTACTGTACACCTAAAAATCTACTGAGTAAATTCCATCTGAGTTCTTACAATAAAAGTTAAGTTTTAAAAAAAAAAGGAAACAAGCACTATTTCCATGAACTAACTTTTTTCTTAAGTTGTGGGAGGGATTTCATTTTACAGAACTATGTTACAAAGGGGATTTACGTATGCATTATAGGAAAAGAAATTTCCTTGTTTCTTTTCTTTAGTTTTATGTCAGACACTCTAGAATTCACTGTGCAAAAATGTAGAAGATAGTTTGGAAACAAATGAAAAACAGTAATATGGTGGTACAACTGGAAGATACAGTCATTGATACTAGCCTATTGGCAGTTTCAATAGAAAACAGAAATATAGGAGATAAACATAGGCTTTCTAGAAAAATTCTCCCTATCGGTGGAATGAAACTTTACACATGAAGTTTGCAATATCAACATATGTGCTATCAAATTAATCTATGATATAATGGAACCATACAGAGCTCAAAGAGAGAAGTGCCAGGAAGAATCTAAACAGCACACCTTACACAGAATATCTACAAGAGAATGAAAGAGAAAGTCATTTTTTGAAAGATGACTATTTCAACTTCCTAGAAGGGTAAAACGAAAAAAATTTAAGATATTAAATGGTTTCTCATAGATCACTTGCACTGTGAGTCAGAGTAGGTGGGAGGTATTATAAAGGGATGGTTTATAATTACTTGAAATAAGAAGGAAAAGTAAATGGAGTCTTACTATATAAGATTTTATAGTTACTTAAAAACTGTGACAAGTTTGAGCAAGGTGGCTGAAGCCCGTTAGTCTCCCCTAATACTGGAACAAACTTTTTGAAGAATATCTTTGATGAAATACAAGATCCTAATCAAATACAACAGCTGCCTCAGGGAATATTGAAAACAAGAAGCATGTGTTAAGCACCTGGATGCAATATAGTAATTATAAAAAGGAGGGGCTTTGAAAAAGAATGAAAGAAATCTACATTTCTCTGTAAGCATACAAGTGCAGTCTACTGCCCCTCCGAAATATCATCATAGAGATGCTTACAACCTGCTACTTCAGGTGTAAATAAACAATACCACTTAACATAAAGACCCCTGAACTGATGTGAAATCCTTTTGGTCAGCCAGAATACTTATCTAACTGAACTTATCTATAATTCAACTCTTTCTTGTAGATTCCTCCTGATGCTAAGTCAGGACAATGCACTGTTGACATTTCATATGTATCAAATATAAGACTATACACTTTATATATATTATCTCATTTAAACTCAACAAACATGAAGTGATCAGCATTCACATTTTTTCAGGTGAAGTTGAAAGAGGATGCATTAAGAGGTTATACCATATCCAAAAGGTCACACAGCTCTTCTTGAAGTCAAGATATGAGTATCTGATAACTTAAGAGTGAGTTTCAATCATGTTGCTATATGGTACTTTTGAAGAAAAATGACCAAACACTTGAAGAACTTTGTTAAGCACTGCTGATTTCTTAGGAGTTAACTCTTTTTTTGGTGGCTCAGAATAAGCAATGAAGGGCTAATGATCGCAGAACTGTCCCCATGAGTAACACATTCTAGAGGAAGAAGTGATCATTCTAGAGATTTGTCAGGTTAGTAGGGGCCACTATTGTTTACTTTTAGGCCAAAGTGTGTGCATGGGCGGGGGGGGGGGGGGCAGGGAGGGGAGGGTTGACCCATCATTTCATTCAGATTCTTATCTCTAAAATGTAATGTCCTAAAGCAGAAGTGGGGAGAATTTGCATCTTATACAGCCTGCAAAATCATGTGATCTGGCCCTGGTACCAGACTGAACAGACATGTAGCTCTCATAGACTGTCTGTGTGTTGTCTGCCTGTATTATGTGGCAAGTGAGTAATGTAATATTCAAATGGCAGAAAAAGGTTCCCACCTATGTTAAAGTTAATAAGGGTCAGAAAGGTAGCACAGGGGTTAAGGTACTTGCCTTGTTTGCAGCTGACCCCAATTCAATCCCCAGCACCACATATGGATCTGAGTACTTCCGGGAGTAACCCTTGAGCACCACAGTCCTTGAGCAGAAATCTGAACACTGCCAAGTATGACCCCAAAACCAGATTAATTTAAATAATAATACCATATTACATATACAGATATATTATATAGTAGGAATACAGATATATATACACATATATAAAAGTTCCAGAAATCATAATCATAATTCTAGAAATAACTAAAATTAAATAACACATTAATAGTAATTCTGATAGCCACTTCAGTTGTTAAGGACAGATTAGTAATCACTCATTTCTCACCAAATCAATGGCTTTTCCTATACCCAGGGAATTGCTAATTTTTCCCAGAAATAAACTCGATTGCACAAATAACTCATTATTCACTTATGCTATGCTAAAATAAATGTAACATAAAACCAAACTTGACTGGTCAGATAATTTTATTGAGTAGTAAAATTATGTAAGAATTAACATTTTAAACAAACATTCATTGTCATTAATATACCCACAATGTTGGGCAGCAAACATCACAACCGGAACACTTGATTAGACCCACACTGCCCCAAAAAAGTATGCCCATAGAGCCTATATGTTGTACTACAAGTTTACCTTGCACACAGCCAATCCAGATTTGATCACTGGTATCCCATATAGTTCCCTGAGAACTGTCAGGAGTAACTCCTGAGTGCAGAGCCAGGAGTAACCCCTGAGCAACACCGGGTGTGGTCCTCAAACCAATACAACAAAAAAATTTGTACCCATTAAATAAAAACTTCTCATTTCTTTCCCTGCCCTAGCCCCAGTAACCTTTGTCTCTAAAATACTGCCTATTCCAAATATCTCTTATAAGAAGAATCACTCGGTAGTTGTTCTTTAGTGTCTTTCATATTTCACTAAGCACATTATCTTCATGGTGTAAAATATATCAGAAACTCATTTCTAAATTATCTTTCATAGTGTATATATGTATATCTACATTTTGGCTACTGTGAATAACACTGCTATGAAACCACATACAGGTACCTGTCTGAGTCCCTACTTTCAATTATTTTGGATGTATATCTAGAAAGTTGAACTACTAGATCATATGGTAATCCTACATTTAACAATTAATTTTTAAAATTTTATTAAAGTATCATGATCTACAAAGTTATTCATAGTTGAGTTTTAGATATACAATATTGCAGCACTGATTCCACCACCAGTGTCAACTTCTCTCCACCAATGTTCCTAGGTTCTCTACTATATCCCTCCACCCTGTCAGTCCACCCTCTTAGAATAAGCACTGGTTGGAAGGAATCCCCAAAGTATTTTAGCAAACTGAAAATATAAGAGATCTTCATTGGTCTAACACAAAAACATCTATAAGCATGTAAGATCCCTAAAACCAGGTTCAAGTAAAAGATGCCCACTCTCTTCACTACTATTCTAATGCTGTTTTGGAGGTCCTACTCAGCATGCAGTAAGAAAAAGAAAACTGCCTCTGATTACAGAAATCATGATAGTTTATATTGATATGAATGAATGTTAAATAAAGACTATACAAACGAGGCCAAGAGACAGTCTTGTGGGTAGGGCATTTGCCTTGAATGCTGCTGACCCAGGTTCAATCCCTGGCATCCCACATGGTCATTCCTAAATGCAAAGTCAGTAGTGACTCCTGAGCATTGCCAAATGTGGCCCCAAAACTTGAAATAATAATACAAATTACTGAATTCACAACTGAATAACTTAATTAATCAAGATTGCATTAATACAAGGTCAAAACACAAAAATTAGAAATAAGAATTTTGTCATTTTTTTTTAATCTTTTGTCACTTGGGCCACATCTGGGCAGTTCTTGAGGGCTACTTCCAGCTGTGCTCAGGGGTCACTCCTGGAGGTGCTCAGGGACCATGTGACATAGGGGATCAAACCCAGGCTTCTGGAATGCAAACCATGGCACTCAGATATTGAGCTATATTTCTGGCCCTGAAAAATAGGGTTTTTTGTTTTGAT